CCCCAAAACCCCAAAACCCCAAAACCCCAAAACCCCACTTGAAGTTGTACTGATTGAAAATTATGAATCGTTTATAATTTTATCTTCATCCTCTTTCTTGAGTTTCTTTGCTGTATAATCTGGATCATATTTCTGAAGGAATTTATCAAGGTTGAATTGATATTTGGGAGACTCATGGGACCCAAAGATTATCAGGGAAAGGTAAATCAGGATTGAAGCAACTGGTAGTATCACTAGAATACTTAAGGCTAGAACAGCTGGAATTGAGTATGTAGCTTTTACTGTGATAGTCAGAGTTTGGAAAGCAGTCCCTCCTCTAGAGTCATCAGCAACTAAGTTCACTTGATATTTCCCAAGGTCAGATGAACCAGCTCTTCCGTAAATTCTCATATTTGAAGATTGGATGTTGATCCAAAATGGAAGAGAACTATCATTATCTACAGCTGAAAGATAATATGTGAGAGTGTCTGCATCAGGGTCAACAAAGGAAGTTGAACTGAAAGCTTCCGTAAAATCGATATCCTGATAAACAGTGAAGGATGAAATTGCTGTGCCAACCACAGGTGCATTATTATCTAGTATTGTTAAGGTAAATGTAGTAGAAGCAGAAGTTCCTCCCCAAATCTTGATAACAATGCTATTTTCTGTGGTATTGACAAAACCAGATGCTATTCTTGTGATCGGGTTGAAGCTCCACCAAGATGGCATTGACCCTCCAGCATTTCTCTCAAAAGATATTTCTACTGGGTCACCATCAGCATCACTAAAGATGTTATCTGGGAAAGTTATGGAAAAGTTTGCATCCTTTTTGATTGTCTGAGAGGATACAGCATTTGAGAAAGCTGGAGCGTTATCATTATTCACAGTAATGTTCAGAATAACAGTAGCAGTTTGCCCAATGGTGTCTGTAGCAATAATAGTTAATGCTGGGTTAGCTTGCCCAGAGTTAGCAGTTCCGTAGAACAATCTTTGAGTTGCATCAAAATTCAACCAAGCAGGATTAGTACTGGTGCCATCAATTGAGTAGGTTAAAGCATCTGTGCTAGAAAATGCGGTTGAAGGAAGAGTATAGGAAAAAGCTTCCGAGTGTATAGCATAGAGTTGGACTAGAGCAGATTGATTGGCTACTGGCGCCGAGTTTACAATCACATTCTGAGTTGATGAGATTGAGTTTGAGGAAGTATCAGTAGCTGTTACTTTTATACTGTAAGAGCCTTCCTCAGATGAGGTGAATGCTGAAGAAGTTAGCAATCCAGCTGCTGATAATGAATATGGAGTAATAGTAGAAGATCCGTTGATGTAAGCTGCTGAATAAGTCAATGTGTCTCCATCTGCATCTACAAAAGGTGTAGAAACCGATATTGAGCCACCAATAGCTCTAGTTAAGTCACTATAAGGAGTCACAGTCGGCCTTGTGCTCACTATAAAATTAAAATCTGAAGTAGGATCAGTTCCTCCATATACATCTGTTGCTGTTACACGAATTGATGTAGTTCCTGAAGCTGTGGGAACTCCTGAAAATAGCCCAGCTGAAGAAATAAAAGTTAACCAGCTTGGGATAGCTGTTAAATCTGTTTGTGTAGCTGAAACATAAGTTACAGTGTGCCCATTTGCATCTGTGAACGACCCTGAAGGGATTGAGTATTCAAAATACTCTCCAACTACAAGATTTTGGGATGGAATGGCAGTTGAACTTACAGGATCATTGTTTGTGATAGTTATTGTAAAAATATCACTAACTACACTTCCTCCGGTATCCGTTGCTTTGGCTCTCACATTTAAGGTTCCAGCTGAAGTAGGAGTTCCCGAGAATGCTCTATTGGCAGCATCAAATGAGAGCCAAGATGGAAGAACAGAGCCACTACTTTGTTCAGCAGTGTAGGTTAACGAATCTCCAGAATCTGAATCAGTGAAGGCAGAGGTACTAAATCCTAAGGAGAATGCAGTATTTACAGCTACTGTCTGGTCTGGGATTGAAGCACTTAAAGTTGGTGCATTATTAGTGACAATAATTCGGTACATTGAAGATGCTGTGTAAGTGCTTCCATCAGTATAAGATCCTTTAACTTTTATATAAGTGCTTAGCCCACTTGAAGAACTGTTTGAAAGTGTTCCTCCGGACGATACTGTCACCCACCCAGATGAAGAATCATCCATTAGGGATGATGAATAGGTTATAGCTGCTACTGTTGTGTTAAGGTTGAATGTAGCAACATTTTGAGAAATTGAATTTCCTGTTGCGATTGAAATTCCTACAAAATTTGGAACTCACATATCTCCACAAGTCTCATTAGTTAGGGTAGTTGTTACAGAAGAGCTTGAGATTGTACCAGTCACGATCAGAGGTTGAATATCGTAGAGGGTTTGAGAGGCTTGGCTAGTAGAAATTGTTCCAACACTTGCAGAGAGTGATCCTCCAAATGCAGTAATAGTTAGAGCAGTACATTTGTCATTAAAATCAGGATCGAAATGAATTATTCCCCCATTAGCTCCTACAGTAGCTGCAATTCCTATTTGCCCATAATGGTTTATAGAGATATCATTTATTGTAGAAGATGCTACATCGAAATATTTGTTCAAAATTAGAGAATCATCACTTAGTTTAAGTCCTCCAACGTACATTTTTGAAGCTGAAGATTGGCCAGCAAAGAAAATGACACTTTGGTCAATATAAAGAGAAGCTGAAGTTATATCACTCATTGTGGATAATGTTAATGTCAGTGTATCTTGATTAGTCGAAATATCAAATTTTACCAAGATCCCGCTCGATCCACCAGAATTTCCAAACACCCAAACATAGCTATGATCCTTGAGACAGACCACTGTGTTAAATTTTACATGGGTGCTTGCAGTACCATAACTTCTGACCCATTGGAGACTTCCAGCAGAAGATATCTTAACAATTACACCAGTATCAAAGTTAGTTGTAACTGTCCATATTCTCGTTGTCCCTACTCAGTAAATATTAGAGGCATCAATGGGAAAATCTACTGAGCTGAATTCTCCGATTGCATTACCTCCAATACCTTTACTCCAGATGTGAGTTCCATCAGGTTGAAACTTAGTAACTACAGGATTCTTTCCTCCAGAATTCTGTGTAAATTCATCTGAATATCCAACTGCATAGAGGTATCCTTCATCAGCTGTTGCTTTGATGTCGAGGCCTACTTCATCACCTGAGTATGAGCCCCACCCTCTGACAAGGGAAGCTGCAAGTGTATTCTTATCATAGATTCCTATGAAAATATTAGTCTTTCCACTTGATGCATCCAAAGTTTTAGTAGATCCTGTTACATATACTTTGCCTGTATCTGAAATGTAGACCTTATTTCAGACAACTTGATTGGTTGTTGAGTCTCCAAGATCTACCTCAGCCACTCTTACCCCGGCTTGGTTTAGAACAGAGAGTCTTCAAATACTTGAAATCGTCGCAGCAATAACAGTGTAGTCATCTCCAGTAGGAGATTTATAAATAGAATTGAAGGAAGCGCTAGCTAAGGATTTGTAGTAGTTCGTATTGACACAGGCACTCCGGCCTTGTGCCACTAGCAAGCCGAGAACGATTACTAAAGTAGCCCAAACCTGTATCACTTGCATCTTTTTTATAAAATGATTTACTAAATTTCAATGCTTTATATTTAAATGGGGTTTTGGGGTTTTGGGGTTTTGGGGTTTTGGGGTTTTGGGGTTTTGGGG